AATTGGCCAATGAGCTGAGTAGCAATCGCACATGCGTGCTTTCAAAATCGCTGGACCGGCGCCTCCCACCTTGGAAATGGAAGTAGGCACGCGTGTGTCTGATTTTTAAGGGCGGTGACAACGATCCGCCCGCGAAATACGGGCCTGTTAGTTTGACAAGTGTAGTAGTCAAGTTGTTTGAAAAGCTGATAAGGGGTTCAGTGGGGAACCACCTGAATAGATTCAACCTTCCCACTGTTGCTCAACCTGGATTCCGCAAGGGATTATCATGTCAGCTTAATCTACTTGTAGCTCGTGAAAGCTGGGCGGAAACGGTAGACGGTGGCCACGCCGTAGAGGTGCTATTCGTGGACTTTTCGTAAGCTTTTGACACCGTTCCACAACTTCGACTCGCAATAGAGCTGGGAGTATACGGGATATCTGGTCATGCCCTTTAATGGTTGTCTGCCTTCCATGAGCGGAGGGAACGGTGCGTGCGGGTGGGGCGCAGCATTGCGCTCAGGTAAGCTGTCCTTAGTGGCGGCCCGCAGGGCTCGGTATTGGGGCCACTGCTCAAAGAGGTTTGGAAAAATCCACTGTTCCCAACCTCTCTGATCTCATGACTACTCGATCGGTTCCAACTATCTTTCAAGAATTTGGGGCCATCGTTGTTCGCGAGCTATGTAAATGAATTGCTGGGAGAGCAAGGGGTATCATCTCTAATGTTTCCTGGCTACCTTAACCTCTAGAATATCATGGATATCCCGGTGGTAATGCAGCAAATCATCGTGCCTCGGATAGGCTCCGGGAATGGTCTACCTTATGGTTGATGCTCATAAATAGGGCCAAATGCTCAGTTCTCCGAATCGGAGCTGCTATTCTCCCATCCGATACGTTGTCTGCGGTGGTGAACTCAAGGCTGTCACTCTGCAGGTTGATTTAGGGGTCGTACACTCATATGCACTTCATTCTGGCGACAATTGGAAGAAGGCTGCTTGTCAGGGGTTTCGTATGTTGTGGTTTATCCGCTGCTCTGTCGGAATCTTAACGGCCAACATGTTTGTGAAGCGATTCTCGGCCCTCGTCCTACCCCAACGAGAATATTGTATTCAGGCTGGTCCACCATGCCATAACCGAGATAAAATGGGCTTGGAGAGGTTGTTAGGAGTGGGTACTCATTTAGGACATGGTCTAGGGGACAGGCGTGTCCTTAATGCTTGCTCAATTTGGGGATGTACTCACCGCACTACTGAAGGATAAAAGGGATCTGATTCTCTTATCTTATTTTGACGGAAAAGAGCGACCCGGATTTGTCAAGTCTATTTAGTCCAGCTACGTTAACTAGTCTCCGCGGTCACTCACTGTAACTGCATAAGCCACGATCTACTAGGATTAGGACGGAAACTCCTCTGTTGGGCCGAGTTATAGCTTGCTGGAATTCGCTTCCAGATCACTTAGTTGAGGAATCTACCGTTAATGGATTTGCCCGCTAACTCTATGCTCTTTGGTGGCAACAGCAAACCTTTCCTTTTCCTAACTGACTCGTCTACACTTCTCAGTCCTTTTTGTAATGTCTCAAATATCTTGGTATTGTACTTACACTTCACTTCCTGTTTGCCTTCTTGCTTCGCGTAACCGGCACAGTAAGGACGACTATGGCAGGATACATGGGTATTAATTGATTGGACCTGGTGTGATGCGGGCTTTTGCTTAGGCTAGCCGAACAACCTTCTCGTGGTGCCAGCTGGGTGGTTCGGGTTTAACCCGTTCCAGCAAATAGTTCGGCGGCAGTGTTCCAGGACGTGGTGGGTTTTCGCCCGGCAAGCGTTCTCCCTATAAAAAGCCACAAATGTCTGCTTATCAACACTGTGACGTGGCGGATGTGACTCGCCACAAAATAAAGTCACTGGCCCGTGGACATCCGGAAAATGGTATCCAACCCACGGACATCAATGGCTTATTCTCACATTCCTACCGATAACAAACAGCCAAAAATTCTGCGGCACATTCAAAATACAAGCTACATTAATAGACAATTGCATACATATATACACACATACACTTACATTCACTGTTATGCCAACATGTACTCTTTGCACATGTTGATCACACTATATAAGCTAAACATGATCATGCCTGTACAGGTGTGCCTCGCATTGTCGAGAATAAAAGTTTATTAATTAATTAATTAATTAATTTCAAAGTTTGCCAACTTCCGGTTCTGAGACCCGCGGAAGAAGGAACACTCACGGGACAATTCTGTCGTTCCAGTCCCACTTGTACTTGAACCTAAATTTGGAAACTGACCTGACTCGATAGCCTTTGCTACTGTTCCACAGCAACGACTCTCATTGAAGTTAAGATGGTATAGGATAACTGGAGCCGCCTGTAAATGGATTTATGCTTTCCTAGAGGGGAGAAAACATTGTGTACGCGTGGGGCGTAGCCTTTCGCTTAGACAAGCTGCTCTTAGTGGTGTTCCGCAGGGCTCGGTTCTAGGGCCGCTGCTTTTCACAATTTATGACAATGACCTACCCCAGGAGCTCGAAGTGCTGTCGCTATTGTTTGCTGCAGACCTCAAGCGCTGGAATATTGTGGATATTCCTGGTGGTTCTGAGGCACTTCAGAGTGCCTTAGGTAGACTCTGGGATTGGTGCTCCTTATGGTTGATGCCTATAAATCAGACCAAATGTTCTGTCCTCAGCATTGGAGGCGGTAATCCTCCCAAGCTTTATGTAGTTGGTGGAAGTAAACTCCCTGTTGCCATTCAGCAGGTTGATCTAGAGACCACTCATACCTCATTGCTTCACCCTGGGGCAAATTGGAGAAAGGCTGTTTGTAGAGGGTTCCGTTCGATGTGGTTTATTCGCCACTCCTTCAGTGTCCTAACGGTCAATATTTTTGTGAAGTTGTTCCCAGCTTTTGTGTGACCGCAGTTGGAGTACTGCGTCCAGGCTTGTCCACCTTGTCTTGTAAGGGACAAAGTGGAACTGAAGAGGGTTTTGCGAGTGGGTACAAGCCTAGTGCAAGGATTACGGAGGCACACTTATCCCGAACGTTTGCTTAGCTTGGGTATGTACCCACTGCAATAACGCAGAATTAGCCGACTTGATCATAACTTACCTTATCTTAACGGGCAAGGTCCGTCCAGGCTTGTCCTGGTTATTTAGTGCCGCCAAGCTGCCTAGTCTCCGAGGTCCCACTTTGAAGATGCACAAACAGCATTCTGAACGAATAAGGACGAAAACTCGCTTGTAGCGGCGAGTTATTGAAAGTAGGAACTCGCTTCCGGCACACGTGGTTAGGGAGTCTGCGGTAGAGGGTTTCGAGCGTCAGTTAGACGTTCTTGGGTGACAGTACCAAACCTTCCTCTTCTCCCAACCGGTTTGCATCTTCAACTTATCCTTCGTTCTTTCTAATTTTCTCCTCACCTTGGTAGTATACTTATATAGCTACCTTCCTTCTCTTGTTTCCTTAACTTACCCTTCACTCTTTTACCTCACATAAACCGGCCTGGTGGTGACTGATGGGCAGGAAAACGTAGGCAGTAATTGTTTAGATAGGGTGTGAATCGGTCTTTGTTTTAGGCTTTTCAACATCTCAAGCATTGGATCATTGGACAATTGGAATGTAGACAGCAGAAGGAAAAGTTCTTTGTCAGCTACATCGCCTCTTATTCGTCACAGGGATCAAGGTGGACATTGCACGTCGGTACCAATGGAACCGCAGCATTGACACAAGAAGCAACAAGATCCGAGTTTACTAAACAGGTAAGAATCCAATTGATGTTTGAAACATTCCTGCGACTGCGCATAAACGACATACACAGGTAGACCATTCCATTCGTTCACTACTCTGGTGGACAGAGTGAAGTCAAAACGGACCCGAAGTCTCCTTTGTTTAAGCAATTTCCAATGGTGACCCCGAGTCGAACTGAAAGAATTGTGTGGAAAGAAATTCTGCAATTCAACTCCAAGTTCCCCTCTAACGATACGCCGTGTGAACATCAAATCCCCGCGATATCTACGGTAGGCTAGGGAGAACAAACTCAGACACCGGAGACGATGAGAGTAAGGCAGGTTTCGTAAGGCCAGAATGGATTTAGATCCTCTCCCCTGAAATGTTCATTCAATGCATTCAAATGTGGAAAGTGGATAAACAGCAGACGGCCCATACTCAAGAATCCGAAGTACATGAGAAGTGAACGGGAACCTGAAGATCTCCGGAGTCAAGCAAGAGAAGGATCGTCACCTGGCGATAAACAACCTGTTGGCAGAAGCGACTTTCTTCAAGGTATCTTCAGTCGATTTTAGGTCTGGGTTCACAACGACGCCCAGGTCCCTCTCACGATTAGTGTTCGGCAACAAACACCTAACAATATGCTAAATTCCAAATGGTTCGTAGGCACCGATCGGAAGAACGAAATATTCCTAGTGATTTATGGGTAATTGACACCTGATCTACCAGTCATGCAGCGAATCGAGCCTTGTTTGTAGTAACTCCGCTTCATCTAGACAGGAGACTTCTATCCATATCTTTAAAGCATCTGCGTAAATCAAACAACCTGCCAGTAGTACGGATGCCAGGTCATTAATAAAGACTTTAAAAAGTTCAGGACCAAGAACAGAGACTTGCGGAACACCGCTGGTTATATGTACAGGGAAGGAAAGGGAATCGTTTACTTGCACACGGAAAGCTCGGTCATGCAGGAAATCAGTGAACCAAGAGGGAGTTTTTCCTGAAAAGCTAATACGGCGAAGTTTTTTAAGCAAAATTTCGTGTGGAACCTTGTCATAAGCTTTACTAAAATCCACAAATACAACATCCAGCCGCTTACCAGCACCCATGGATGTAGCCCACTTTTCTCGAGCTACCTGAAGACTGGTGACACATGAACGCGAAGGACAAAACCCATGCTGCGCAGACCTATTAATTCCCGATCCGACGATACGCAAAAGAAGGAACATTCACTGGATTATCCCATCGTTCTGGTCCCCACTGAACTTGAGCTTTTACTTGACCTTGTCTGCGCTTACGTACCTCCAGGTAGTATATGCGTGATGTCCAGTTTCAAGTAAGTTTACGCATGGTTGGCGGTTACGTGCTTGGTCTTACACGCATTATTGACGCAGTGAAAGCAGTTCGATTGACAGACACGAATTCTCTAATTTTTGTATTCATCCGACTACCGTCTTTGGCTGTTAGTCCATTAGCACAAGCCAATGGTTCCATTTATATGTGGATACATTAGATAGTAGAGAGCTTAAGGCGAGTCCTTAGCCAGATCCATCACTTCCAGATAATTTTAATAATGGTTCCATCATCGCGAGATGGCGCTGTACTAAAGGGCAAGATCCCGACATACTCCGCGAGTAGGAATCCAACCGTCTTGAAACATTCCTTCGTCTGTGCATCAACGACGAGCTCCGACAAACGCTTCTAGTCATCCACTATACAAGTGGATGAAGCAAGATTGAGCCGCACTCTGAGCCAGAGTTTTGGTTTTGAAGGACATTTAGAGTCAGCGTTGGGGAAGCGAGTTCTAGTGTTGGTCATGCCTACAGTGGTGTCCCCCAAGGTTCGGTTCTGGGTCCATTGCTATTTCTTATGTTTATAAATGACCTGGCTCCTCTTCTTGAGGACCCCTGCTACATCTTCGCAGATGACTTGAAGCTGGTCAGTAGGGGAAACCGTGCGACATTGGCTAAGGACATCCTCACTGTGGTGAATTGGTCAAGTCAATGGGACCTACCTCTAAATGCCAACAAATGTCAACTATTGACTAGTAGTGGTAGCGGAATCGCAGTTCAGTCTCCTGTGGGATTTCTATCATTGCGGTGCACTGACGAAGCCCGTGATCTAGGTGTCATCGTAGCGAACAATTTTAAGCCTTCGGCACAGTGTCGCCATGCTGCCAATAAAGCACGACACGAATTATTTCGTCTTAGGAGGGCGCTGAGTAACACTAAAGCAGAAGTATTCTTGCCCTTATATAAAGCAGTGGTCAGGCCACATCTGGAGTATTGCGTTCAAGCCTGGTCACCGTACCTCCGTAGTGACATCACTTGTATAGAAGAGATTCAGAAACTTGCGACCAGGATGATTGAAGGTCAACGAGGGAAGTCTTATGAAGATCGTCTAAGTAGCTTAGGATTATTTTCCCTGGAACGGCGTAGGTTGAGAGGGGATTTGATAGAGACGTTTAAGATCATTAAGGGACTTAGTGGTATTAGTTCCACCCATCTGTTTGAACTGGCTACGTCAGACCATCTGCGCAGGCATCGCCTGAGGCTTAAACATCACAGAGCTCGTTTGGACATCAGGGCAAAGTTTTTTACGAACCGGGTAGTTAACTACTGGAATAAACTCCCTTCTTATTTAGTGGAGTCTGAGACAGTAGAAGCCTTCAAAAGGGGCTTAGACAATTGTTGGTCCATCCTTTTTCCAGAAATATTGTAGTTGTACTTTAATATGTAGTGTATTTTGATGCTGGCATATGAAAGTGCAGAGATTGCTCTTGTTCTTGCTTCATTCCATTGCAGAAGCAAGAAGAGACAATCCAACGTCGAAGTGCCGGGGGTCGCTTCACTTACCGGCACAAGAACTGGACGCTCGTTAGGCGGAGGCCTCTATCGTCCACCTGACCTGACCTGACCTGACCTGGTAATTTCCATTGGTTCTCAACGCTGTAGCTCCCTTCCCAGTTGTCCTTTGGGAATACCTTTTACGTTTGGTGGGTCAGAGTACGTTCGAATGCATCCTGTTTGGTAAGATCCGGTAGAATATCTCGTTCTGTGTCTAGTAGGCTACCGCAAACCGCTTCATGCCCTACTTTCCCCTGACCCCTTGCCTGCTTTATTGTGGTCAGGTCAAGTAGAACGGACGAGAGGTTTTCGCTTAACGAGCGTCCAGTTTCTTGTGCCGGTAAGTAGAGCGGCCTCCAGCACTTCGACGCTGGATTGACTCATCTTGCTTCTGCAAAGGAATGAAGCAAGAACAAGGGCAATTTTTGCACTTTCATGTGTCAGCATCAAAATACACTACATATTCTATTACAAATACAATATCTCTGGGAAAAGGACAGATCAACGCTCATCTAAGCCCCTTTTGAAGGCTTCTACAGGCTCACATTCCACTAAATTGGAAGGAAGTCTATTCCAGGTACTGCGGATAGCCAGCTCCGTTGCGTTTCCTTCCCGTCTTGAGGATTCATTCTGAATTTACTGAATAAGGGATACAATGTCCTCAAAATGCTTGGATTGTTGTAAGGCTGTCACTTCTCGCTCAAAGGCTGTTCAATGTTCCTTCTGCGAAGGGTGGCTTCACATTGCATGTTGTAACATCGGTCCAGATCTATACGATCCACTGCAAAGAACCATTTCCTCAGGCGTCATCTTTATTTGTGACTCCTGTCGGGGTGGGCTGTGTCAGGCGTGTTTCGGATGGTCTACCTCCAATTGCTCCATGTCCCTCATGCCTGCATTCTATGCAAAAGAAAAAGGATGATCCGCTGTTCCCTAGTTTGCCTTCATCTGTTTCTGGCCCGGATACTTCCCCTGGAAAGCAAAATCTTGTTTTTTCAATTTCATCCCCAGAACCATCGTCCATTGTACGACAGTTCAACGAACGCAAGGAAAGGACTTATGCAGTGGTAGCGAGCAGCAGTGTAACTGCGGTACCCATGATTCCAGAGACTCCGCTAAATAATCAGAAGACGAAGAAGGCTGCAAAATCTAGGTCTAATCCCAGCTCTTCTCAGCCACAATTAAAACATGTTATCGATAAAGTGAATCAGTTGGGGGATATGATCAAGGCAAATCCTTACCCGCAAAAGCCGCATCAAAATGAAGAAAGCCGATTTCCCATGAGGGAACGATGTCTGATCATCGTTAACGCCCCTGAGTCTACTAAGGAACCCTCGGCTGAAAGGATATTGGAGGACCAAGCTTTTCTGCAGCGGATGGTTTCCTTACTGTTCGATGCTGGGGAAAAGGGCATAAACTCCGTCTCCGTTTTTCGCCTTGGCAGGAAGCAGGATGACTCCTCGATAGTTCGCCCCCTAAAGGTGGTCTGTCAACATGAAGAGGAATACCGCCGTATCCTCCAGCGAACCCCACGTTTGAAAGGGGAAACGTTCTATGTTTTGAGTGACCTCTCCCCAGAAGAATGAGTTAAAAGGAAGCAGGCCGTTGATGAACTACGAATCCGACGAGCAGCTAGTGAAAGCGAACTTCACGTTGTGGATTTTCGGGTAGTAAAAAGAATCCCAAGGACTCGGTGGAGACCAATCTTCGTTCTTCCGGTGCACTGAGAATCGGGAGTGGACTGCGTGTGATATCGGCGAACGTGCGTAGTTTGGGAAACAGATTGTATGAGATACTGCTCATGACCTCAGAGCAAGAACCTGAACTCATGGCTTTTACGGAAACTTGGCTATCCTCGGATATTTCGGACTCGGAGGTATTTATTCCAGGGTATCAACTATCCCGTGCAGATCGTCTGGGAGGGAGATCCGGGGGCGGTGTTGCACTTTACTGGAAGTCAGACCTTAAAGTTCACACAGTGGAAGCCATGTGTGATCTCGATGGAGGATCGGAAATTCTTTGGAGTAGGGTTCACAATGGGTTCCGACCGCTCATAGTCGGCGTTATCCACAGATCCCCCTTGGTGTCAGGATCCCACCTGATAGGCTCTATGAGGATACACGGGGGAGGCAAAGATTGTTTGATTGTGGGTGACATCAATGCTCCGGCCGTAGACTGGGATGCACTTCATTGTAATTTATCTCCAGATTCTTTTGATACATGTTGATTAGAAATAGCCCACGAATGTAATCTAACGCAACACGTTTTCTCACCTACCCGTTTTCCCCAGGCCAAGTGCCACACATCCTTACCTTGTGCTCACACCTAGCTCATCAGATGTTTCCGCTCTAGCCATTCTTCAGCCTCTTGGCAAAAGTGATCACTGTGTAGTCTCCTTTTTGTGGACACGACAGTTAGCTATCAATGTCCAAGGAGCGCACCGCCGAAACTTCTGGCGAGCTGACCCCCTCCGCTTAAAATTGGCTGCCAACCTCATGGACTGGAACATCCCTCATCAGTTGGAGCTCGATGCTGCTTGGGACCTTTTGTGCTCCAAGGTTCAAGTTCACTCAGACGGCACAAGATTACGCGCATTACAAAGAGGCTAGAAAGTTATGTACGCTGAGAAAGCGCGAGAAGCGAGAATTATATGAGCAGCATTTGGCCGAGCAATCTGTGGCTAATCCGAAAAAGTTTTTCGCATACTTAAAAAGAAGCACCAAATCTGGCAACGGTATACCCGCACTGTATTCAAGCAAAGAGGACATCGTGCTTCACGATGACATGGCGAAAGCTTGTCTACTAGCTTCGCAATATTCTGCTATCTATACGACAGAGGCGCCATTAGTTGTTGAGGACACACCCTGTCACCCCTCTCCATTAGAGCATGTTGAACTTACCACTGACAGAGTATTGGAACTGCTTCTTGACTTGAACTCGAATTCTTCACCGGATCCCGATGGCTTACATCCCTTGTTGCTCAAAGAGGTGGCGGAATTCACTGCTGCACCAATCTGTCAAGTATTTCGAAGCTCACTTGAAGCAGGTCGTCTCCCAACTAAATGGAAAGCAAATGTTGTGAAACCAATGTACAAAGGTGGGAATCGCCACGATCCAGTGAACTACCGACCGATTTTCCTGTCATCAATCCTCTGTAAAACCATGGAAATGATTTTGAAACAGGCCTTGCATCTTCTTGTTGAGAAATTGAACGTCATCTCTCCTGCTCAGCACGGATTTCGTAGGGCACGCTCTTGCATTACCAATCTGCTTGTTGCCCGATAAAACTGGGCGCAGTCAGTGGATGCTGGTCATCGCCTTGATGTAGTTTTTGTGGATTTCCGCATGGCGCTTGATAGGGTTCTGCACGAGCGACTTATCAAACTTCGGCAGATGAGCATCACTGGCAGTTTGCTCGCCCTGATCGCTGATTTCCTAGATGACCGTAGTATGAGGGTGAAGGTTAACGGAGTTGACTCTGGTCCTGTTC